ATTTTACTTAGGATATATGCATATATGTATTTAATTTTGGTTTTTATCTCTACCAAAGAACTAGAGACTTCAATATATGGAATTTATTGATTTTCAGTCTGTAGAGAAAATTCAAACAATAACAGGTGAACATGGTATTTCTGAAATTATCTTACCTCTCAGAAGACGAGGCAAGAAAATCCAGCATTTTGAATGCTGAATATTGCATAAATTTGCACTTTTGATTTACAGGAAGCATGGAACACGCCACCTGAAGGAATCTATTCGAATGTACTTTGCTCGTTCCTGTGGGACTCACAGCTTTCCCTGAGGGACAGTCCTGCTCCTCGGCAAAGTTCTGAAAATGTCTGGATCAAAGCCCTTGAATGTGAACTCTGGGGCAGTGTTTTCTTCTTTTAATATCTCAAAACAATTTTATTATGACAGCGTAATTAGCACAAGCCAACTCTGAAAAACTTCCACTTTTCTTCCATTTCTCTTTTTTCTTACTCTCCTTTTCCTTCAACATTGTAAACATGATTCTATAACAGACACCATTACCATCAAGGTAAACTTTCCCTCCCATACCCCCTTGACCTTCATGCCCTTATCTTTTTCTACCTTATCAAGGTGAATAAATCATATGTCATCTTCAAATATCCAAATAGTAAAATTTCATGGCAAGCACTACCATTTTTCCCTGATGCAACTTTTCCATTGGGCATATAATAGGGACTGCATTTGCAATTTTCAACTTACACAGCTTTCATTACAAAAGCAAATTGGATGGGACCGGTACTGTGGCACATAGGCTAAGCTTTCACCTGTAGCACCAGCATCCCATAGGAACATCAGTTCATGTCCTGGCTTGCCACTTCATTTCAGCTCCCTGCGCTTATTGCTTGGCAAGATGGTGGCGGATGGCTCAAGTTCTTGGGGCCCTGTACTCAGGTGGGAGAACCAAAAGAAGCTCCTGGTTTTGGATTGGCTCATCTCCAGGCTTTGCAGCCATTTGCGCAGTGAACCAGCACAGGGAGGTCCTATCTGTCAATCTCTCCTCTCTGTAATTCTGCCTTTCAAATAAAAATAAAATAAATCTTTTGAAAATGAGAATAGTATCTATTCAAAGTTCACATCAACAACTACTTTATCTCCCAAAACTCAATCAATCATCTGCCATTCTTTAAAAAAAGAATGTGATAAAACTAAACTTATACTATATTTACTTAGCCTAATAGAACCATATATTGTTATTTTACTATAAAGCAATAATAAAGTGCTAACATAGTAGTTTACAATCTTTTTTCTTTTCTTTCCACTTTTAAAAATCTCCCGTATATTTTTATCGTAGAGCACAACTGAATTTTGTTGATCACATTTTAAGTGCTAAAGATATATGTAGCTGGTGGCCACCATATTGCATGAGACTAGAAAAAAAAATTCTCAAAATCTGTAGCTACTAATCCCCACTAAATGTGTTACTACAAACATTGAAACACAAAAAGTGTCCACTGTTATTGACATGGGAAATCTCCTGCTTAGGGAACCATAGGAACTTTCTCTTCCCTTTAGTTTTAGTGTAGTGCAAACTCACTGATACACACACACACACACACACACACACACACACACACACACACGCACACACATGCACACACATTTTTCCCTGCTGCAACAATTTCTTACAGTACAGAAATGAGTGAAAAGGGGATGGAACTTTTAGCTGAGTGGCTAAGATGTCCACATCTCATATTAAATAGCCTGAATTTGACGCTTGTCCCCAGCTCTTGATTTCAACTCCCTGCTAATGGAGGTCCAGAGGGGCTCAGTGAGCTGGATCCTGAGACTCCTATACAGGAGTATTTTTACACCTGGCTTTGACTCCTGCTCAGGTCTGACCATTATAGAGGTGAACACACAGATAGGAGAGAGTTCTGTGTTTTCCTCCGCCTCTCTGCTCATCTAACCAATAATTAGTAAACATTTTAAAAGACTAAATGACTATAGAAATATCAGGAAATAACACTACATTATTAGTGTTTGAATCAAAAATTCTTCTGGACACAGCCAGCTATGTAAGTAATTATTTGACACTGATTTAGGTTTAGAAGTTCATATTAGAAGATGTCACATAGAATCTAAGTATGCCCAGAAGTCATTGCCCCAAATAGCTTATAAGACAGAGGAAGATAATAGAGGTTGATTCTACCTCCTATTATCTATTCACAGTGAGTGAAAAGCATATAAAACCATTGTGGTGTGTGGGTGGATATTTATTTTCATGTCAAAAAGAAACAACAGCAACAGTAGGCTTTGTACGCATCTGAGGTGTTCTGCTTGCAACATCTCCCCCAAAGAGATAGGTGCTGAAATCGTGAACTAGTGCATTCCTACTCAAGAGATGGGTTGCATGCTGAACCTAAACCCTGGTCTCTATTATGCAGAAGGATATACTTTTTAGACGGGATTTTTTCAGGAACCAGATGCTTGTGATCTCCTATTAAGACAGCCTGCCTGAGAGCTTGCTGAAGATGGAAGCGAGAATAAACGATGCTAAAGCATCTTAAAGGTAATAAAAAGAGGAAGGAAGGGAAAGGGTGGGAGAAGGTTGTAGTGCAGGAGAGAAAGAGGAAAGATTGTGGACAAAGCTCAGGTGGACCAGGTTTCACAATGGTTCTGCAAATCCTTAGGAAGATAGTTCACCCCATCTCATGGCTCACCTGCCTTTCTCCTCAACCTGTTTTCCTTTCTATGCAGCTGCTGATTTCTCTTAAACAAACCATGGAAAATACTGAGCATGCTCAGTACCCTACTAACCTTCCCTACAGTTAACCTTAAAAATTTGCCTTTGAATCACAAAAGCTACAGAGTAATTAACATGAAGCAGAAAAGGAATTAGCTCAATGCAAGCCCAGAAAAGAGGCACAACCTGGATGTGCAATTTTAATAGCATCATTATGCCACATCCCCTGGACCAATATCCCAAGGTGGAATGAGTAATTACAATGTGGAAGCACATATAATGCACTTCAAATGCACAGCTGTGATCTCTACCATATGACAACATTACACACACACACACACACACACACACACACACACACACACACACACACACAGGTTTGACTAGCATGCTAATCGCCTTCCACTAGAAAGTAGGACATCACTTCTGAGCACAAAATACACCCCAATGTCAATCAGTCTCTTCATTCGCTATCACAGAATAACGAGTGCTCACACATCTATTCTAAGTATAAAAATTGCTACAGCTCCTAGAACCTCTTATTTAAGGGTCCATTAGTATTTAGGATGACAAATATAAATGCAATATAACATTTTTGTGATGCTGAGCTGTAAAATAAATTTTCACTTTGAAGTTGATAACAAAGAAAGTGTTTTTCATTCACCTGCAAAAACATAGCAGAGAATTTTATGTGCTGTTTTTCAGGAATATGCAGTCCTGTTTGTCTCTGATTTCAGAACTTCTGCAGCAAGTAATCCAGTGGTCCCATTTCCAAAAGAGGCAAGTTCTTGATATAACACCAGCCTTTGCAGCTTTGTAAATATATCAGATGCACCAAGTTTCCAGTCCCCAGCCAGCCCTCCAACTATCTACCCTTCCACACTGTGGCTATTCATAGACCCCACTTCCTGACTTCAGCATCAAACAAACTGATCCATTTAGATAGTTACCTTGTTATTGTTCTAGAACATTTCTATACCCACTTGATTAGGAGTCTAATTCCTCAGATACACAAAGCTGCTGCTAGAACACCTCTGCTGTGGAGCCAGACCTAAGTCCCACTCCAACACTCTGGGTAGAGAACTTGGGACTAACTGCTCACACATTTTCAACGACACTCGTCAAAGAACAGTAAGGAACTGGAAGTCATACAGATGATATGAATAGCAACCAGGAAGACATGGAACATTTCATGACTGAGTCAAACTGGATTAAAATGTTGCTTTATTTAGGTGCTCCATGTAATAGAAAACCAGCCAATCTTTAAATCATGGCTTTCATGACAATGGTTCACTCTTCTCACAGAGAAGCCGCGGACTTCCTCCACCACACATCAAACTGTTTTCTGATACAGAAGTGCTGATACAGGATGAAAAACAAAGCAGACCTCCATCACAGCAATCCTTAAATCAGGCTGGGAGAGAAAGTCACGAACAACCATGTTTATAGAAGCAACACTCTAAATAGGTACAACAGGTTCTTGAATACTGAGCTGAAAATACATTTTTGCAAAAAAAAAAAAAACTGTAGAAGCATCCCATTACTAAGTTTTTGCCATTAACCCTATATAGAGTGTGAGCATAATGCAACAGGCTTGTTTTAGGAAGCTACAATACTACTCCTATCCAGTGAGAGTCCTTCTCCACAGCAAGCCTCGGAAGACTGACTCGAGTTCTGAACATCCGCATTGCTCAGCTCACGTGCCGAGCTTTTGGAGAATGTCTGCTAATACGCATTTCTTGCTTCATAACCAGACGCCTTTAAGTCAAACGATGTGATCACATGTTTCATTCATTGTACTTTGCTTTGAATGACTTTCAGCAATCATCTCAAGTAGAATCCATCATATTAAATGTTTCTACCACTGAGGTTGTTTACATGATGACATATCAACATTCTCAAAGCTCCAAGAGCAATTCAGGTCACACAACCTTGTTGAAAAACATCTGCAGCCTTCCACATGGACAACACGGAATGGGTAGCAAATCCAGAAAATTATTAACTAAGTTCAACCTCAGCAGTTGTTTATTAATTTCACTTGAGAACCAAGAAATGACCTTTAGATGGCTCTCCATCTTAACACCAGGTCATGTTAGTATAAAGGTGACTGATACATATATTTTTTTTAAATAACCAAAAGCAAGAAAATCTACTTTAAACCACTCTTAAAAGAATTTAGAAGTCTACTCTTTCATCTAAGTTACCCACTTTGATAACTTTGAACACACAAACCGGATGGCACATACTGCTCAAGTGTTTGTAGCAAAGAAGTACTTACGCCATGATGCCCGAGAGGTGAAACATCTCAGCTGTGATGTAGGACAAATAACTGTACAGGAAAACAAAGAGCGGCTCAATCACTCTGATATTATGCGTGAAGCGGGTTGTGAATGCTGCTATAAATCCCAGGAAGATGCCGATCAGCACTCCACCAATGCCCACGACAAAGAAGTTAGCAATTCCAGCAAACACATCAATGGTCTCAATGGTTTTCATCTGGCAAAAGGACTTGAACAAGTTATACAGGACCTGTGGAAGCAAGAGACATGTGGTCAAAATATCGCCCATCCTCCAGGATCACTCTGTATACAGAAACACTTGGCCTTTCAAGATGACATGGCTGTTCAATAACCAAGTGGATTGTATGAGGCAATTCATGGACATTCATCTAGGATTTTAATGTGGGTTTCAAACATAAACACTTCAGAAAAATTCTATTGTCAGGGAAAGTATTTCTAAAAGTAACAAACAGAAGACCTGAAATTTATAATACCCATAAAATCTAATTGTTTTTCTTTTTTTTTTTCCCAGGTTAAGTATTTACTTGTTATCTGGCATACCTCACTCAAATCAACATTGTTTGGGAAGTCCTATGTCAGAAAGGATGAGTATCAGAGCTGCTGGGAATATATTTATTGTGGGAAGTCCACACACCAAGGAAGGAAATTGCCGGTCAGTACAGGTGTCTGATCTGAGCAAGTCCTCTTCCTCACTCCATCCCCAGCTCCTTGTCCCAACTAGACATCCATGTCTGGTGTGATACAAGATCTGAAGGAAGTTTCTTTAAGCAAAAAGGCAGCAAAAGTGTACACAAACACACAAATGTACACACACACACACGTGAGAGAGAGAGAAAGAGAGAAAGAGTACCTACCAGCTGTAACATATATATTGTCCCTGCCCTGTAACTTATACATTTTGTACTTCTCAATGAATGAGTCTACACTACTGCCTCGCTTATTTCCATAGCCTTGGTTTAAGTAATGCTTCAGTAACACAAGGCATTCCGTGTCTGCCGAGTCAGACACGTGTCCTCCATCTTCAGTCTGGGAAGAGGAAGTGACAGCTGGAGTCCTACCACTTTTCCCACCCAGCAGGAGGTTCTTTGTCGCTTTTCAGTGTGGCATTTACCGCTCTAGAAGCACAGGGAGTTTCTAGCAGGGCCAAGGGACAAGGACACTGGAGACAAAGGCTGTACTAACTTTTGAGAAAGTCAAACTTGATTCAATTTGCCCACAGTCAAGTGGCACAAAATGTCAAGGCAATATTAGAATGCAGGTTTTCTGACCTTCCGGGTAAGTTGTTCAAGGTTCAGCCACGGGGTGATGAGTCAGTCGATGCCTGCTAGCCAGCCTGTGTCCTGCAAAGGTCCCCTCACCCTGTTACACTTCACTGTGCTCATTAAAACCTACCACATTTCCTGTCTGGCATACTTTCTGTATTTTTCACTAGATTAGAAACTGCTTGGACTCAATCAGCATTCAATTAAAATGACTTCCACGTTGTCCAAAGGATAACAAAATGGTCAACATTTTGGTGCAGTGGGTTAAATTACAACCTGTACTCCCACGTCCCGTATGAAAGTAGTGGTTCAAGTCCAAGCTACTCCCTTCTGATGTAGCTCCCTGTTAATCCACCCGGGAAAGCAACACAAGATTGTTCCAGAAGCTTGGGCTTCTGCTACACCCACGGGACTTGGTAAAAGTTCCTGGCCCAGTCACGGGTTCGGGAGGGAGAGGGAAGAAGCTATGGTCATTTGGAGAATGAATAAGGAAGGTTGTTTCTCTCTCTCTTTCTCCCCTTTCAATGTATTTTATTTATTTGAAAAGAAGACCTACAGGGAAAGAGAGAGAGGTAAAGAGATCTACCCGCTGGTTTATTCCCAAATTGCTATAATAACCAGTGCTGGATCAAACTCTGTGTCTTCCATAGGTGTGGCAGGGTCCATGTACTTGGGCCATCTTCCACCACCTTCCCACATGAATTAGCAGAGAGTTGGATGGGAAGTGGATCATTTGAGCACCCATGAGGGATGCTGGCATAACAGTCAGCAGTTTAAATGGTAGCACCACAATGCTGTCCTCACCTCTCCCTCATTCTGTAGTTCTGTCCCAAAAAACTACAAATCAGAATATGTTTTTACATAAGCTGATCTCTTTTCCTCCTCTCATCTTCCTGCTCCATCTAGTACAGTGATGAGGCCTCCAAGAAAAGCCCAGGAACTCATTTTCACAAAAGAAATCCTATTCCTAACCCTCCCAACATCACCATTCCATCCACCAGAGGCCCATTCTGTTGTAAGTATCTCGGCAGACAGCACAAAGATCAAAGCTCAGCTGTGGGCACTTGGCCATCAGTATACCACCAAGGTCCCTTCTTATTAGGCCGAGGACCAAGATGCTATATATCCTTGAAAAACCAAAGGGTTCCCATTACCACCCAGCTACTTCACATTAAAACTGATGCCTAGTGACAGCCATGAGATAAAATTCCTTTAGTCACAGCAGCCATAACGCCACAATTAGGTGATTTCAGTTTAAGTCAAGTCATTTTGCCCCATGGTACCTATGTAGAAAAATACCTTGGAGTTTTGATTTACATATTTATCAGTGTTAGGTATAAGTGAAAAAATTGAGTTTATTGTTTTTAAGATCAGATTTTGTTTGTCTGTTTTTAAAATTTCGGGTTTGTTTCCCCTAATCATAGACTGTTTACATATACATCATGAGATATCTTGGAGATGTGACTTACGTCTAAATATGAAACTTACATACATCTATTTTTTACAGGTTTATTTATTTTTGAAGGCAGAGTTAACAGAAAAAGAGAGGGAGAGAGAGAGAGAGACATCTTCCATATGTTGGTTCAATCCCCAGGTGACTGGCTCTGGGCCAGGCCCAAACAGGGAGGCAGGAGTTTTCCCCAGGTTTCCCATGTTGACAGAAGGGCCCAAAGCCCTTCTGCTTTTTTTTTTTTTTACCAGGCCATGAGTAGGGAGACATACAAAAAATGAAACAACTAGGTCATGAGCCAAGACCTAGAATGGATACTGACATTGTAGGTGCTGGCTTTACTCACTAGCCTGTGACGTTGGTCATATTCCATATACATCTTCTAAGCACACACTGAAGGCAAATGTAATCAGTATTGAGTGCATCTGTATTTTGACTATGACTCATTAGTCGAGGCCAGGCTTGGAATTTTCCACTTGAGTTTGTCACATCAGTGCTCACAAGATTTTCCAATTTTAGAGACTTTTATGTTTCAGATTTTGGAATAGGAATTTCCAACGTACATACGGATGCAGATTACAAACACGTTTCTAGGGACTCAGCCAAGATGACCTCTTCCTAACATTTGTATCTTTATGACATTGAAAACCTCACTTTGTAATGGGCTGATTTGACAAATCAGGGCGTTTAAAACTTTCTTATGACCAAAGGTCTGCTTAGTATGAGTATTTTTAAAAATGCATAAATATATTACATGATGAGTGACATATTCTGAATGCTAGTTTTGGATGCGTGCTAAGTCAGCAGCACCGTGTACAGCAGGGATGTAAACGAAGTGAATGAGGCTGACTGCCAGCGGAGCTCTGAGCCAAAAGCAGTCAGGTCGCATTTTTAAATATGAAATTTTAGGGATGATCATCATTTTTTTAAACACTTCAAACCTGTGTTGCTATTTGCAAAATCAAAAAGAATTTTGTAGTATTCACTGCTTATCCCCTCTTTTCCTAAAGTCTCACTCTATGGTCCAAAAAGAATAGCAATGGAGGCATGGTACTAGCTTCTTTCTACAGAGTCAGCACTCCTTAAACGACCCAGGGTAAGGACGGATCACTTTTGAGGAAATACTGTAAGTCTTCTTGGGAAATACATCTGATATACAACAGTTGCATTAACATGCTCTAGGAATGGCGTTGGAGATGATCATGGAACCCAAGTCATGTGGTGAGGGACGACCGTAGAAACATCAGGAGCTTTCAGGTAACTGAGCACCTGAAAAAGCTTCAGATTTTAAAACATCTTCATGATTTTTTCAAGCAAAATCACAGCAGTCTAACTACATATCAGATTTGTCTTCTTCTGAGAGGCAGAGACAGGGAGAAGAATCAGGCACAATCTCCCCTCCACTGGTTCACACCATAAATACCTGAAGAGGACAGACTACGTTTGGTCAAATCCTAGGAGCTGAGAGCCCAGTCCAGGACTCCCAATGACTTTAGCCATGACTGCTGCTCTCAGAGTGTGAATTAGTGGGACACTGGAATCCAGAGCGGAGCCAGGACTGCAACCCAAGCACTCCCATGTGGAACATGTGCCTCTTAGCCAGAATCGTAACACTTATGTCAAACACCTATGAGTTAATGCTAATCTATGTGAGTCCTAGACAGCTGAGTGGGTCGGTTCTTCTTCCACATCCATGAGACCACAGTTGATGGCTCTGTGTCCTGAAGCAGCAGCACAGGGCACATGTGTGGATCTCCAACTGTCCGTGTATACTGGGCACAGTGATTCAGCGAGGTCCTCCCTGAGATCCGATGCATTACTGAGGTTGGTACTAAACAGGAACAGATATTAGAGTGGTGGTGTGTCCTTCTGCAAGTAGCCTGGGTGTGCTGAGTGCTTAGATAGAGTGCACAGGTGTTTTTATTTCTTTGTAAAAAAAAAAAGTCCCATTGCATCTAATTAATTTACTCTGAGAATGCCATGTGCAAGTGTCTGCAATCTGCTCAACATAGATAAAATTTACATATCAAACATAAGTCACAAAGGAGAACCTGACGTCTCTAAAATCAGTTATAAATAATGTCATCACTATTATGGCAGTTTTCCACTCCAAACTTAATATTGGCAAACGAATGACTAATCACTGTAAAGTATGAAGTATACGAAGTTTGTTTTTTTTTTTACTGCAATGATACACCTCAGCTGTCTTAAAATGGTTATCTTAGCAGCTATTCTGAAAATTCTGATGTTATCAAGGTATTATTTTCTACATAATAGCATCCATGGAATTAATGGACATCCTTAGAGATAATATTTTATTTAGTTCAGGGATCTTACTTTATACTGGAATACAAGCTAGCAGAATAATGTTGACTATGGAGACCTTAGAGTGAGTTGGGAAAAACATTTTAAAGACAGAAGCTAATGGAGAGGGTATTAAAAATTTAGTTACTTAAGTACACACTGTGGGGGCAGCATTGTGGTGCAGGTTAAGCTGCCCTGTATGCTCCAGTATCCCAAATGGGCATCCGTTTGTGTCCCAGTCGTTGCACTTCTCATTCAGCTCCCTGCTAATGCCCTGCGGAAAGAGTGGAAGACAGCCCAAGCACTTGGGTCCCTCCCACTGAGGTGGGTGAGATACTCAAATGAAGCTCCTGTTTCCCAGCATGGGCTTGGTCCAGCCCAGGCTCTTAGAGCCATTTGGTCTTTGCAACTATAGTTTTCAAATAAATAAATGTTTTATAAAAGTATACATTACTAAATCTTTCTCAATATTCTCATCTGTCATATGCAACGAATACCTACTGTATAGGTTTATCTACACAAGGGTAAAGGCTTTTCGTTGCTATCACCTCTGCTGCTACAGTGGCTAACATCAGACAGCCTCACTGAAGCCAATTAATCACGGTCTCAGTCCTGGATCACCTGAGTGGCTGGCTGGGGCAGGCAGAGGCCTGTGGGTGAGGGGAGGACCTTCGTCATCCATTCTCTCCACGGTTAAGTTCTACCTCATTAAGACCATAACAGCCTCTGACTCTAACTATGCTGCAATTAAAAGAGAATTAAAAATAATGTGTGTTTGCTGAATAAATACCCACTTACAAGCAAATGAGTTCGCCCAGAACTGTGCTTGTTGAGTCGTAACAGAAAGTGAGCAAGTGATGAAAGCTGTCGCCTAATGTGGGCCAGCACTGGGGTGCAAAGGGTTAAGTCACGGCCTGCAATGTTAGGATTCCATGGTAGCACAGGCTGGAGTTCAGGCTGATCCACTTCCACCCAGTTCCCTGCTAAAAAATGTGCCTGGGAGAGCAGCAGAATGGCATCCAGGTACATGAGTTCCTGCCATCCATGTGGGAGGCCCAGGTGGAGTTCCAAGTTCCTGACTACTGATTGACTGAGCTGTGACTCTTGTAGCCATCTAGGGAGTGAACCAGGGTATGGAAGATCTCTCCATCTCTCTCCCTTCCTCCCTCTCTCCAACTCTGCCTTTCAAATAATAAAATAAATCTTTATTTTGAAAAAGTAAATGTTTGAAACTGTAAACAAGCCAACTCTGGTTGAGAACGGTACTCTCATGGGGTATCAGCACTTGTCATGCATTGCACACATTGCATGGGGACAGCATCACTTCTTAAAAATAACTCCGGCTTCCTTTCCACTATGGTCAAACGTCATCCTTTGGAAATGCCTCAAATAGTAAGTCATTACAGGTCCAGAGGCCACAATCCCTTTTATATTCCTCAGGTATGAACCACGCCCTGCCAGAAGGCACAAACTATGTTGTACCATGGGGCCCAGATCAAAAGGAAAAGTACAGGTCCATTAGAGTAAGTGAAAGATGAAAACACATAAAAGCACGCATTCAGAGTTTCAAGACCCAACGGGAGCTCCTTCAAATAGGTTGGGTCGCTTGGTGGTACCCATGTGTTGCCATGGTGACTCACCACTGTGACTGCATCATTCAGCAAGGACTCTCCAAAGACGAGGATGTAGAGCTGCTCGTTGACACGAATGTTCTCGAAGACAGCAAGCACAGCCACGGGGTCCACGGCTGAGATCAGGCTGCCGAAAAGCAGGTTCTGGAGCAGAGTGATGTCGCTGAGACCAAAGGCTTCGATCTGGCAGATGCCAAACAATGACACCCCAATGCCGATGGAGTTCCACAAGGTGCCAACCACGGCGTACCAGAAAATAGTGCCGAGGTTCTCGAAGAAGGGGCGGGTGGGCATGAAATAGCCGGCGTCGAGCACAATGGGAGGGAGGAGATACAGGAAAAACACGTCAGTCTTCATCGCGGGAGGGGACTTCTCATCCACCCCAAAAATGATCCCGCCCAGCAGAAGTCCGACCATGATGAGAAGGCAGCTCTCAGGCACGATGGTGGGCAGCTTGTGGTAGAGATGGAAGCCTGGAGAGGAAGGAAGATGCGAGATATGGGTTCTGCAGAAACTGCAGAGAAGAGACCATGATTCGGGTCAATGTAAAGAATCGCATTGTGGAATCTCCCAGGCCAGTAAAACAACGTAAATCAAATGACTCACAAGGTGTATTTACACTGAATTTAAATCAGAGCTAGACTGCTGCAGATGAATATTACCTACACGATTTTCTTTCTTTTTTTTTTTTTTGCAATTTTAAACAAATTCACATTTGCTTTAGATTGAAATAAACTCTAAAAATTGACTTTCACCAAAAAGAACACCAATTTTTTCTGTATTCTTTTTAGATATTATTATTATTTGTCTAAACTCCTGCTAAGTTTCTCCTAAATATTGAAGCTACAAAAACAGAATAAGACCACACGATTTTATTTCAAAACATTTTGGTGATTCCCAAAGCATTTTTAGATAATAACCCATTTTTACCTCCTAAGGACATGAATGAGAGGAACGGTGGTAATTTTCAGACTTCTTTAAAACTTACATGGAAGTTGACACTGGTTCAGAAACTCATGCTATATGTATTTGTTACTAGTTCCCTCCGATTAGGATTTCACAGTGTTGCTCTTTTGTGGACCCTGTTATCTGGAAGCTTCCTGTATTCTTTCTCATTTTGTCAAGCTCCCACATCTTCAACAAAAGGCTATTTTAGATGTAATAAAAATATATATATAGGGAGTTAATTGTATTGCACTGTTATTCAGCTTAATTTCAACACCTTTATACCGAGAGATGTTAAAACAGATTTGACTTGAGAAAGGAAGATCTGTGGTTTTTTAATGATAACCTTGAATCCTGTTCTCTTTCACATTTGCTAAGGATTCGTTGCCTTTTTCTTTTCTTCTATCTTGGTGTTCTCTTTCACTGATAAGGAGTCTCCTTCTGTCGTTAATCCCTCCATGTGGCCCGTGACTTTCCCTACAGACCATTCGTTTTGGAGTTCAGGCTATTTTAAAGTTTTTAATCGCATGATTTTGGACATCTTAATTGTTCAGTTTCAATGTTATTGATTTCATTGTATTTATAAGAGAGTAGGGGGTGAGACATGTTCCACTCGCTGGTTCATTCCAGAGACACCCACAAACCCAGAGCTGCAGAGGCAATTTGCAGGGTCAACGTGAGATCAGCAATCAGGAGCCAGGGAGGGACCTGATCGGAGTCTCCCACATGGGTGGTGTTCCATGTACTTTATTTGTGATCTGTTTGCCTCCAGGGTTCACATTACTAAGCAGCTAGATTGGAAGCCAAACAAGACTCAAGCCAGCACCCCAGCACGGGGTATGGACATCCCCGGCGGCGTTTTAACCATTGATCCAACTGCTGCCCACCCAGCTTCTTACTTTCACAGGTGCTGCCTCACACCCATCCCATTACATACTTTCATCAGACAATGACTTTTTGCATCCAGTTTTATGAAATTCATGTTTGGCTGCTCTGTGAATTGAGATACATAAAACCAGAAATTTTAGATTTCAATAAGCGTATTTCCCTCAATAATTAAAAATAGGTTTAATGCACTTTAGAAATATTACTCTTTTTCTCCCTAACCAGAAAGGCATGACTTCTTCTAGAACATTCTTGACTTTATGTTCAATATTTTCCAGGGTGTACTTTAGCATAACCAGCCCTGGGGCCCAGTGCTGGGTCATACAGCTCGGTCACTGAAGTCTGGTGTACTCATACCCACGTGCCTCTGCCTTACTTAAAATGGACTTTGTAAATACCTGTTGGTTCCATGGGTGCCTTATTTTTTTTTCTTTTCAGTTTGGGGAAAGTGGAATCAAAGGTTTTTTTAGTGGGCCTAGCATGATAGCCTAATGGTTAAATCCTTGCCCTGCATATGCTGGGATCCCATATGGGCACCAGTTACAATCCCAGCTGCTTCACTTCCCATTCTGCAAAATACTTCTTGCCTGGGAAAGCAATCGAGGATGGCCCAAAACCTTGGGACTCTGTACTCGCGTGGGAAACCCAGAAGAGGCTCTGGCTTCCTGGCTTCAGATTAGCTTAGCTCCAGTCACTGCGGCCACTTAGGGAGCGAACCAGCAGATGAAAGATCCTTCTCTCTATCTCTCTTTCTCTCTGTATATCTGCCTAAATAAATAAGTAAATAAATATATAAATGTTTTTAAGTGTGGGCCAGGCACAATAGCATAGTGATTAAAGTCCTCACCTTGCATGCACCAGGATCCCATATGGGCACCGGTTTGTGTCTTGGATGGCTATTCTGCTTCCCATTCAGCTCCCTGATGATTAGCCTGAGAATGGCCCAATGCCTTGGGACCCTGTAAATGTATGGGAGACCCAGAAGAAGCTCCTGGCTCCTGGCTTTGAATTGGCTCAGCCCTGGCCATTGTGGCCACCAGGAGAGTAAACCAGTGGACAGGAGATTTTTCTGTCTTTCCTTCTCTCTATAAATCTACCTTTCCGATAAAAGATTAAAAATACAAATCTTTTTCAAAAGCTTTTGGTGTAAATTTTCTTTTGAAATCTAGTACACGTTTTCTGCTAATAGCTTTGGAGACCCCTTGAAAGGAACATTTTTCTGAAGTCTGCATGTCTTCATCTAGAGCCTGTGCACTCTCTCCTGAGGGCGTGGCTCCTGTTCCCCTCTCCCACTTCCCCTCCTCCCTTCTGTGTATGCTAATGAGAACGAAGAGCTTTGTTTTTTTTAAATACTGGAGCTATGGGAATGAAATAAGATCACACAATTTTATATTTCTGAATCTCTTGGTGGTTCACAAAGTAAAGTATTTTCAGATTTAATAATCCATTTTAACCTCGAAAAAGTTCGTGGACATTGGATTACAACAGTCCAGAGCTACCGAAAGGATCCCAACCATGGGAACTCCACGATTCTCAAGGAAGCAAATTCCATTCCCATGATCAGCTTGTCCTTAAGTGAAAAAATTATCATTTAATATCATTTTCTACAAGCTTCAGAAAATACTTTCATGTTCTTTTTAAAAAATGTATATTTATTTGAAACCCTGTATAAAATGAAAGAGTGAAACATAGTTGAAGAACCTCCCTAATGAGGGAAGAAAAGAGAGTGGAGGTCCTTGTGGATGGTGTCCTCAGGATATCTGATATAGTTCCCAAACTGAAGGTGATAAAAGCTGCTCAGCTCAGAGATGCCAACTGGCTACCAAGGATAACCTGCATGATGGAGAGCACAGGTTAAGGACATAGTGCAGTTACAAATAATGCTTCTTGGGCAGTTGTGCATGTCACAGTAGATAACTTCTGGCTGTCCTGACTACAGTTCCTTTACAAGCGTAGGACAACAGTTACCCTAGCTAAGAAGGGACTGCCTCCGGCCTGCACACTTCTCAGATTACAGTCCACAGTGTAGCAGCAGTTACACCCTACTTGTGCTGGTCCCATTGCTTCCTTGGAATGAGCTCAATAAATCTATCTGTGCTCACTCTATCTGCTCTAGTCCATTTTTCTCACTATCTTGGAAACTGGCTTCTGCAGGTCAATTCCTGTGACATTGTGGTGATTCATACGAGACCCTACTCTGTGATCACAGGGAGCCATCCTCCGACGTGAGACATGAATGGCAGTGTCAGCTCGCTCACGTGAGTACCCTCGCAACACACTTCTGGCCCTCTGATCAGCCATTCTTTCTCCTCTATTGCTGAGGCTCAGAGAACAGCTTGCAAGTTTGTGGGCAACTGGTATTTCCTGGTTAGGGCTACTGGCTCGTGGAACTCAAAGTTCTCATTCTCAAATGCCTAGTACTTCAGAAATGGGGATTCCAGTTTCCAGTATTCTTCTACTTCTGGTTCTCAGCAAATGGTTTTCCTATGTGAAGGCTGATCCTTGGCCAAGGAGATTCTCTGGAGGAATCAGAAGGTCCCCATTTTGGAAGGCTTAGTATCTGTTGCCCTCAGTGCTAAGGGCCAACTCCATTCCTTAAGCCACAGAGCTGCTAGTTCCCCTTCAGTGGTCATATCTCATCGAAAATAATACCTATGCACTATGTCCCTTGGTGGGGCTGTGTTAAGAGAATAGGACAATCACCTTACGTGGCATCGTTTATTTCTCAAAAAGAAGCATCTCATTTTCCTTTGTCTTGCTTTCATACAAGCTTTCAGAATAAGAGGCCTAGCCCTTTGACAAAGCTACAGTCCTTTCCCACAGTTCGTCCTCCCTGTCGCAGATCTTTAAGGAGATCTTCTGTGTTCTCTGCTGTTTTTCAGTTCTGAATGCTTGAGAAGACTGAGCCTTGAAAAAGTTAAGACTGTTATCTTGAAAACAGTCTAGAGATCAACTCCCATGTTTCCCAACTCCATGACTGAGCCTCTGGGTCATCTTGGGTGTGGCAGGTAGCAAAATTGAGTTTTTAGTAGACAAGGGGCTACATACTCAGATTTTTGTGTTTGCATAGCAGTGTAAGTTAAGCAAGAACCCGCTCTACTTACAACAAATTGTGCTTAAATACGTTGGCATTTCTAAAAATTAAGCAGAGAAATCCATGCTCAGAGGACTCCAAGCCTTGCAGTGAGTAAATAAAGTTGGCACTTCCCGATGTGCCCTTAAATTTCCAAAGCTAAGACATGGATAGTTCAAAATAAAATCCAAATCTGCCTTGGATTGGCTTTTGATATTGCGACTTTGCCAAATGCAAGATTGCTATATGGTAGAGCATTTGCTCTTATAAAATGCACCTGCTTTTGCAGTGTAACTCTCATTCTTTTTTCAGATTTGTTAACTTTGATCTTGTTGGTTTTGTTTTATATATTCATTTTGTAACTTTGTGCTATACAAGTACAATTCTCAGCAATATAATGGTGGCCTGACACTTTAATGACTTGTACCAGCGGGACAGATGACTACAGGCTAGATTACCTTAAGAACCACTCCTTTTAATACCTCTTTATTGCTCAAATATGCTGACAGAATTTCTGCCACAGCTCCTGGTGGTCAAATATTGCCTTGCAGTGTGGAACTGGACCAACAA